TTGACAATTACATTAAGTTTATGCAAAGAGTCAATATTTGCAGTGTTGACCCTTCTTTTTCAAGACCTCTGCAATCCGCCCTGGCATGCTGTCAATTAACTTCTGGGCCACATCCTGACTGATGGCAGCCCATTCTTGCATAATCAATGCTTGGATTTTGTCCGAATTTGTGGGTTTTTGATTGTCCACCCGCCTCTTGAGGATTGACCACAAGTTCTCAATGGGATTAAGGTCTGGGGAGTTTCCTGGCCATGGACCCAAAATGTCAATGTTTTGTTCCCAGAGCCACTTAGTTATCACTTTTGCCTTATGGCAAGGTGCTCCATCATGCTGGAAAAGGCATTGTTCGTCACCAAACTGTTCTTGGATGGTTGGGAGAAGTTTCTCTTGGAGCATGTGTTGATACCATTCTTTATTCATGGCTGTGTTCTTAGGCAAAATTGTGAGTGAGCCCACTCCCTTGGCTGAGAAGCAACCCCACACATGAATGGTATCAGGATGCTTTACTGTTGGCATGACACAGGACTGATGGTAGCTTTTTTCCGGATGCCCCAAACAATCGGAAAGGGGATTCATCAGAGAAAAGGACTTTACCCCAGTTCTCAGCAGTCCAATCCCTGTACCTTTTGCAGAATATCAGTCTGTCCCTGATGTTTTTCCTGGAGAGAAGTGGCTTCCTCACTGCCCTTCTTGACACCAGGCCATCCTCCAAAAGTATTCGCCTCACTGTGCGTGCAGATGCACTCGCACCTGCCTGCTGCCATTCCTGAGCAAGCTCTGCACTGATTGTGCCCCGATCCCGCAGCTGAATCAACTTTAGGAGACGGTCCTGGCGCTTGCTGGACTTTCTTGGGCGCCCTGAAGCCTTCTTCACAACAATTGAACCTCTCTCCTTGAATTTCTTGATGATCCGATAAATGGTTGATTTAGGTGTAATCTTACTAGCAGCAATACGGCATGTGTTTCCTTGCAGGTAACCATGGTTAACAGAGGAAGAACAATGATTTCAAGCACCACCCTCCTTTTAAAGCTTCCAGTCTGTTATTCTAACTCAATCAGCATGACAGAGTGATCTCCAGCCTTGTCCTCGTCAACACTCTCACCTGTGTTAACGAGAGAATCACTGACATGATGTCAGCTGGTCCTTTTGTGGCAGGGCTGAAATGCAGTGGAAATGTTTTTGGGGGATTAAGTTCATTTTCATGGCAAAGAGGGACTTTGCAATTAATTGCAATTCATCTGATCACTCTTAATAACATTCTGGAGTATATGCAAATTGCCATCATTCAAATTGCCATCATTCAAATTGCCATTCGGTAATAGGCAGGCGAGGTAAGTAGTCATGCTGTACTTCGCTCCGCAGGTAATATGACACATTACATTACAATGGAACGATTTGATTAGTGTAATGTTGGCTAGCTACATAGTTGTATTTGTATCAAAGATAAAGGTGTAGTATAGAGTAACTATCGAGGTTAGCTAGCCAGCTATATTCGTTCGCAGCGACGCCGTTTTTCAAACAAAGTCAACACCGCAGCCATTGCTAGCTAGCCAACACTACCAGCTAGCAGCTAGCAGTAGCAGTACTGTAGCAACTAAATACAATATCCTTTTAGCCAGCTACATTCGTTCGCAGCGACGCCGTTTTTCAAACAAAGTCATCACCGCAGCCATTGCTAGCTAGCCAACGCTACCAGCTGGCAGTACTATAGCAACTAAATACAATATAATTTTAGCCAGCTACATTCGTTCGCAGCGACGCCGTTTCTCAAACAAAGTCAACACAGCAGCCATTGCTAGCTAGCCAACGCTAGCAGTACTGTAGTAGCTAAATACATTATCTTTGTGCTAGCTAGCCAACGTTTAATTATTGCTGCGTTTTGGAACTAGACACGGACACAAATTATCTGTTTAGCGTGTTAACACACTATTGGTAGTTTGTTGTAACCAAGTATTGGTGCTAAACCGTGTGTTATTGGATGCTAGCATGCTAGTTAGCTATGGCGTCATAGTTAGCTAGCTGAATAAAGTAAGTTGAGTCTATTCCTTGAAACATTGAACCGCTGTAGTTTACAACAATTCTAATTTCTAAAGTGGAAGTTGGGATAGTTTTATTCGGGTGTTTCAGTGAAACAATTATAGTTTCTGAGGTGGAAGTTGGGAGAGTTATATTTGGGAGTTGTGGTAAGGGAGGCCCCGCTCTCTCCTTTCCCAGATGTTTAGTTCATTTCATTCCGATCTCCTCTGCATTATTGTAGCCATTTGCTACAGCCTGTCAACTATGCCTCTGCCTATCCCTGTTCTCTCCTCTCCGCACAGGCTACACAAACGCCTCACACAGCGTGGCTGCTGCCTCTCTAACCTGGTGGTCCCTGCACGCACCACACACCTGGAGTTCCAGGTCTCAGGCAGCCTCTGGAACTGCCGTTCTGCTGCCAACAAGGCTGACTTCGCATACCCCGAGAGCATCTGGTCAGAGGGGTGGTGGCACAGGAATCCTCATCTCTCCCAAGTGGACATTCTCAATTTTTCCCCTAACCTATCTGTCTATCTCCTCATTTGAATTCCATGCTGTCACAGTCACTAGCCCATTTAAGCTTAATATCCTTGTCATCTATCGCACTCCAGGTTCCCTTGGAGAGTTCATCAATGAGCTTGATGCCTTGATAAGTTCCTTTCCTGAGGATGGCTCACCCCTCACAGTTTTGGGGGATTTCAACCTCCCTACGTCTACATTTGACTCATTTCTCTCTGCCTCCTTCTTTCCACTCCTCTCCTCTTTTGACCTCACCCTCTCACCGTCCCCCCCTACTCACAAGGCAGGCAATACGCTTGACCTCATCTTTACTAGATGCTGCTCTTCTACTAATCTCACTGCAACTCCCCTCCATGTCTCCGACCACTACTTTGTATCCTTTTCTCTCTCGCTCTCCTCCAACACTACTCACTCTGCCCCTACACAGATGGTAATGCGCCGCCGCAACCTTCGCTCTCTCTCTCCCACTACTCTCTCCTCTTCCATCCTATCATCTCTTCCCTCTGCTCAATCCTTCTCCCTCCAATCTCCTGATTCTGCCTCCTCAACCCTCCTCTCCTCCCTTTCTGCATCCTTTGACTCTCTGTGTCCCCTATCCTCCCGGCCGGCTCGGTCCTCCCCTCCAGCTCCGTGGCTTGATGACTCATTGCGAGCTCACAGAACAGAGCTCCGGGCAGCTGAGCGGAAATGGATGAAAACTAGACTCCCTGCGGACCTGGCATCTTTTCACTCCCTCCTCTCTACATTTTCTTCATCTGTTTCTGCTGCTAAGGCCACTTTCTACCACTCTAAATTCCAAGCATCTGCCTCTAACCCTAGGAAGCTCTTTGCCACATTCTCCTCCCTGCTGAATCCTCAATGACTTCGTCAACCACTTTGAAAAGAAGGTTGACGACATCCGATCCTCGTTTGTTAAGTCTAATGACACTGCTGGTCCTGCTCACACTGCCCTACCCTATGCTTTGACTTCTTTCTCCCCTCTCTCTCCAGATAAAATCTTGCGACTTGTGACTACAGGCCGCCCAACAACCTGCCCGCTTGACCCCATCCCCTCCTCTCTTCTCCAGACCATCTCCGGTGACCTTCTCCCCTACCTCACCTCGCTGATCAACTCATCCTTGACCGCTGGCTATGTCCCTTCCGTCTTCAAGAGAGCGAGAGTTGCACCCCTTCTCAAAAAACCAACACTTGATCCCTCTGATGTCAACAACTACAGACCAGTATCCCTTCTTTCTTTTCTTTCCAAAACTATTGAGCGTGCCGTCTTTAGCCAACTCTCTTGCTATCTCTCTCAGAATGACCTTCTTGATCCAAACCAGTCAGGTTTCAGGACTGGTCATTCAACTGAGACTGCTCTTCTCTGTGTCACGGAGGCTCTCCGCACTGCTAAAGCTAACTCTCTCTCCTCTGCTCTTGTCCTTCTAGACCTTTCTGCTGCCTTTGATACTGTGAACCATCAGATCCTCCTCTCCACACTCTCCGAGCTGGGCATCTCCGGCGCGGCTCACTCTTGGATTGCGTCCTACCTGACCGGTCGCTCCTACCAAGTGGCGTGGTGAGAAGCTGTCTCCGCACCACGTGCTCTCACCACTGGTGTCCCCCAGGGCTCAGTTCTAGGCCCTCTCCTATTCTCGCTATACACCAAGTCACTTGGCTCTGTCATATCCTCACATGGCCTCTCCTATCATTGCTACGCTGACGATACACAACTAATCTTCTCCTTTCCCCCTTCTGATAACCAGGTGGCGAATCGCATCTCTGCATGTCTGGCAGACATATCAGTATGGATGACGGATCACCACCTCAAGCTGAACCTTGGCAAGACGGAGCTGCTCTTCCTCCCGGGGAAGGACTGCCCGTTCCATGATCTCGCCATCACGGTTGACAACTCCGTTGTGTCCTCCTCCCAGAGTGCGAAGAGCCTTGGCGTGACCCTGGACAACACCCTGTCGTTCTCCGCTAACATCAAGGCGGTGACCCGATCCTGCAGGTTCATGCTCTACAACATTCGGAGAGTACGACCCTGCCTTACACAGGAAGCGGCACAGGTCCTAATCCAGGCACTTGTCATCTCCCGTCTGGATTACTGCAACTCGCTGTTGGCTGGGCTCCCTGCCTGTGCCATTAAACCCCTACAACTCATCCAGAATGCCGCAGCCCGTCTGGTGTTCAACCTTCCCAAGTTCTCTCACGTCACCCCGCTCCTCCGCACACTCCACTGGCTTCCAGTTGAAGCTCGCATCTGTTACAAGTCCATGGTGCTTGCCTATGGAGCTGTGAGGGGAACGGCACCTCCGTACCTTCAGGCTCTGATCAGTCCCTACACCCAAACGAGGGCATTGCGTTCATCCACCTCTGGCCTGCTGGCTCCCCTTCCTCTGCGGAAGCATAGATCATGTATCTCTATGGTCCCCACTGCATTTAATCAGGGGATGACTGCAATTATTATTTTGTGTTTGAAAATATGCCAGCCAGTCGGGGCAATGAGCAGGGCAGGACAGAGGAAAGGAAGGGGAGGAGTGTTGGCTCTGAAAGCCGACTGACCCCGTTGTGACATCACATCACAACAACACACACAAGCAGACTGGCCCGTGGCCATTCACTCTCTAGCTCACGGCGCTCAGAAAGAGGTCAAGCCCGTTTTAGCCACTCACGTGGCACGTGGGACTGTGATGTCACAGCGCCAGGGTTCTGAAGCCGGAAGAGTGCCAGGGTTGTCCCTCTGCCCTGGAAAATGGGTAAACTGCCAAGTCAACTGATCCTGACTAAGTTAAGCTGGGGTGAACCAGTCAAACTTTTGTTAATTTCTGCTCACTAATGCACACACACACACACACACACACACACACACACACAAACACACACAGCTTTACACACACAAACACACACAACCTAACCCTTTAAGCCTAAAATTGCATTCTAACAAATTCAGGACATGGAAAAAGTCCTGACTTTAAAAAATGTTTTATCTTACCTTGTCAGGACATTCTGGTCCTGATAATGTAGGAAAACATGTACACACACACGCAGCAATAAAACCATTTCCTGTATGCGCAGTTATGGTTTTACAATCTACAAATGATTAGAAGGAGAGGGTTATGAAAGAGGCTGTGAAATCAACAGTGGTAAGGATGGAGACGTGTACATAGGCTGCGTCTCAAGCTACACCATATTCCCTAAGTGCACTACTTTTGAACAGGACCAACTGTGGGCCGTTCTGGCTCAGACGAGGCATACTTATCCAAGGCTTGCTTGTTTACTTACTTACTTTTGACCAGGGCCCATAGGTTGCCATTTGGGACATAACCATATTTTCCTCAGTTTCAACACGGTGTGAATTTGTGCAAAAAAATTATTCATGTCCACAACTCTATGATTTATTGAAGACGCACAGACAGACAATGGTTGCATCCCAAATTGGACCCTATTCCCTATTTAGTGCACTACTTTTGGTCAAAAGTAATGCACTACATATGGAATAGGGTGATCTTTGTCGGGTAATTTATTAGTTTTGTTTCCGTCTAGCACCTGACTACTGGATGTGCGTATTTCTCCTCCCCACTGAATAAGTCATCTTATCTCCCAGCTTGAGGAGTTATTACTTATTAAGCGAAACATTGTTAAGTCTGGAAGCATCGTTCAGAGTGCATCTGCTCTGTTGGAAGAACACATTCTAATCCAAATGGCATCCTAGTCCTTTTATAGTGCACTACTTTTGACCAGGACCCATAGAGCTCTGGTCAAAAGGAGTGCACTATATAGGTAATGGGGTGCCATTTGGGATGCATTCCAAGTCTTAGTGAGATCTAAAGAAAGAACGAAGACCGACAGCACCCAGAATAAAACAACCTCACTGTCTGCTGTCTACGTCAGATTCAGGGAACGCTCCAGCGCTTCTGAGATGCTTCTAGTAAACATCAGCGAGAGAGGAAGGGAAGGAGAGAGAGGGAGAGAAAGAGGGAGGAATGGAGAGAGAGAGGAAGGGAGAGAGGATGACTTGTTTTCTGCCCTGTTTTCGTATTGGACTGGCTCTAACTGGATTATATGTGCCTGTTCAGTGTGTGTGTGAGAAAGAGAGAGCATGTGTGTGCGCGCGCATGTGTGTGTGTGTGTGTGTGTGTGCGCGCGCACGTTTGTGTGTGTGAGAGAGAGTGTGTGTGTGTGTGGTTATAAGGTCACACGCTGGGTAACGAGATGAGCTGGTTCTGTGTGTTGGGACGTAAGTCGTGACGTCTCTCAGCCCAAACACTGACACACACACACACACTGACACACACAGACCGTTTAGGATGGACACAGTGGCCCAGGATCAGACAAGGGATTGCCTGTTTGTGTCAGTAAACTTTGACGGTTGGTCTTATCTCTTAGAGATACATCAACTCTTCTCTCTCCACAGGTAGTGACAGACAGTGTACCTGTCCCAAATGTAACCGTTTCCCCTATATAGTGCACTTCTTTTGACCAGAGCTTTATGGGCCCTGGTCAAAAGTAGTGCACTATAGGAATAGGGTGCCATTTGGGGCACACACTTGTTTTCTTATCCTAAATTGACCCTCTCTGTATCCCTCTGAGTGTTTTAGCAGTGATGACCTAATGACATCATATTATGGGAGAACCAGACCTGGAGCTTGGCCTCACCAGGCGAGGGTTGTGTTCATTAAGCAGAAAACGGAAGAAGGGAAGTTTCCCCAGGTACAGATCTAGTATCAGCTTCCCCTCCCCCAATCCTAACCTTAACCATTAGTGGAGAAAATGCCAAACTGACACAAGATCAGCGTTTAGGCGCACGTTCACCCTCCACCTAATGTAACATTCTTGGTAGTTTTTTTAAATATAGATTTTTTAATCATTTAGCAGATGTTATTATCTAGAGCGACTTACAGGAGCAATTATGGTTAAGTGCCTTGCTCAAGGGCACATCGACAGATCTTTTCACCCTGTCGGTTTGGATATTCGAACCAGCGACCTTTCCGTTACTGGCCCAACGCTCTAACCGCTAGCCTACCTGCCGCCCTGCAGTTGTCGTGTTGTGGCTTGAATGTCCTGACAAGATGTATCACAGTCATTTGTATCTTGAATAAAAGTTGAGATATTTCCCTCAACAACCTCCTGTGTGGTTTATAATGCAGTAATGCCTCCAGGAAAGATTGAAGAAGCAGACTTGAAGGGGTGTGTGCTTGCGCGCGCTCATGTGTGCGTGGTGAGTTATGATTGAATATACTGTATATGCTGTGCGTGGCTCAGCATGGACGGAGAGCCTAATAATATCTGACAGGTGTTATTGTTTTGGAAAATAAAAACACGGACGTGAAAGTTTTCAGCACTCTCTTAAGTTACATATGTGCCTTTACAGTGAGGGAAAAAAGTAGTTGATCCCCTGCTGATTTTGTACGTTTGCCCACTGACAAAGACATGATCAGTCTATAATTTTAATGGTAGGTTTATTTGAACAGTGAGAGACAGAATAACAACAAGAAAATCCAGAAAAACGCATGTCAAAAATGTTATAAATTGATTTGCATTTTAATGAGGGAAATAAGTATTTGACCCCTCTGCAAAACATGACTTAGTACTTGGTGGCAAAACCCTTGTTGGCAATCACAGAGGTCAGACGTTTCTTGTAGTTGGCCACCAGGTTTGCACACATCTCAGGAGGGATTTTGTTCCACTCCTCTTTGCAGATCTTCTCCAAGTCATTAAGGTTTCGAGGATGACGCTTGGCAACTCGAACCTTCAGCTCCCTCCACAGATTTTCTATGGGATTAAGGTCTGGAGACTGGCTAGGCCACTCCAAGACCTTAATGTGCTTCTTCTTGAGCCACTCCTTTGTTGCCTTGGCCGTGTGTTTTGGGTCATTGTCATGCTGGAATACCCATCCATGACCCATTTTCAATGCCCTGGCTGAGGGAAGAAGGTTCTTACCCAAGATTTGACGGTACATGGCCCCGTCCATCGTCCCTTTGATGCGGTGAAGTTGTCCTGTCCCCTTAGCAGAAAAACACCCCCAAAGCATAATGTTTCCACCTCCATGTTTGACGGTGGGGATGGTGTTCTTGGGGTCATAGGCAGCTTTCCTCCTCTTCCAAACACGGCGAGTTGAGTTGATGCCAAAGAGCTCGATTTTGGTCTCATCTGACCACAACACTTTCACCCAGTTCTCCTCTGAATCATTCAGATGTTCATTGGCAAACTTCAGACGGCCCTTTATATGTGCTTTCTTGAGCAGGGGGACCTTGCGGGTGCTGCAGGATTTCAGTCCTTCACGGCGTAGTGTGTTACCAATTGTTTTCTTGGTGACTATGGTCCCAGCTGCCTTGAAATCATTGACAAGATCCACCCGTGTAGTTCTGGGCTGATTCCTTACCGTTCTCATGATCATTGCAACTCCACGAGGTGAGATCTTGCATGGAGCCCCAGGCCGAGGGAGATTGACAGTTCTTTTGTGTTTCTTCCATTTGCGAATAATCGCACCAACTGTTGTCACCTTCTCACCAAGCTGCTTGGCCATGGTCTTGTAGCCCATTCCAACCTTGTATAGGTCTACAATCTTGTCCCTGACGTCCTTGGAGAGCTCTTTGGTCTTGGCCATGGTGGAGAGTTTGGAATCTGATTGATTGATTGCTTCTGTGGACAGGTGTCGTTTATACAGGTAACAAACTGAGATTAGGAGCACTCCCTTTAAGAGTGTGCTCCTAATCTCAGCTCATTATCTGTATAAAAGACACCTGGGAGCCAGAAATCTTTCTGATTGAGAGGGGGTCAAATACTTATTTCCCTCATTAAAATGCAAATCAATTTATAACATTTTTGACATGCGTTTTTTTTGATTTTGTTGTTATTCTGTCTTTCACTGTTCAAATAAACCTACCATTAAAATTATAGACTGATAATTTCTTTGTCAGTGGGCAAACGTACAAAATCAGCAGGGGATCAAATACTTTTTTCCCTCACTCTACAGTGGGGAAAAAAAGTATTTAGTCAGCCACCAATTGTGCAAGTTCTCCCACTTAAAAAGATGAGAGAGGCCTGTAATTTTCATCATAGGTGCACGTCAACTATGACAGACAAATTGAGAAAAAAAATCCAGAAAATCACATTGTAGGATTTTTAATGAATTTATTTGCAAATGATGGTGGAAAATAAGTATTTGGTCACCTACAAACAAGCAAGATTTCTGGCTCGCACAGACCTGTAACTTCTTCTTTAAGAGGCTCCTCTGTCCTCCACTCGTTACCTGTATGAATGGCACCTGTTTGAACTTGTTATCAGTATAAAAGACACCTGTCCACAACCTCAAACAGTCACACTCCAAACTCCACTATGGCCAAGACCAAAGAGCTGTCAAAGGACACCAGAAACAAAATTGTAGACCTGCACCAGGCTGGGAAGACTGAATCTGCAATAGGTAAGCAGCTTGGTTTGAAGAAATCAACTGTGGGAGCAATTATTAGGAAATGGAAGACATACAAGACCACTGATAATCTCCCTCGATCTGGGGCTCCACGCAAGATCTCACCCCGTGGGGTCAAAATTATCACAAGAACGGTGAGCAAAAATCCCAGAACCACACGGGGGGACCTAGTGAATGACCTGCAGAGAGCTGGGACCAAAGTAACAAAGCCTACCATCAGTAACACACTACGCCGCCAGGGACTCAAATCCTGCAGTGCCAGACGTGTCCCCCTGCTTAAGCCAGTACATGTCCAGGCCCGTCTGAAGTTTGCTAGAGTGCATTTGGATGATCCAGAAGAGGATTGGGAGAATGTCATATGGTCAGATGAAACTTTTTGGTAAAAACTCAACTCGTCGTGTTTGGAGGACAAAGACTGCTGAGTTGCATCCAAAGAACACCATACCTACTGTGAAGCATGGGGGTGGAAACATCATGCTTTGGGGCTGTTTTTCAGCAAAGGGACCAGGACGACTGATCCGTTTAAAGGAAAGAATGAATGGGGCCATGTATCGTGAGATTTTGAGTGAAAACCTCCTTCCATCAGCAAGGGCATTGAAGATGAAACGTGGCTGGGTCTTTCAGCATGAAAATGATCCCAAACACACCGCCCGGGCAACGAAGGAGTGGCTTCGTAAGAAGCATTTCAAGGTCCTGGAGTGGCCTAGCCAGTCTCCAGATCTCAACCCCATAGAAAATCTTTGGAGGGAGTTGAAAGTCCGTGTTGCCCAGCGACAGCCCCAAAACATCACTGCTCTAGAGGAGATCTGCATGGAGGAATGGGCCAAAATACCAGCAACAGTGTGTGGAAACCTTGTGAAGACTTACAGAAAACGTTTGACCTGTGTCATTGCCAACAAAGGGTATATAACAAAGTATTGAGAAACTTTTGTTATTGACCAAATACTTATTTTCCACCATAATTTGCAAATAAATTCATTAAAAATCCTACAATGTGATTTTCTGGATTTTTTTTCTCATTTTGTCTGTCAGAGTTGACGTGTACCTATGATGAAAATTACAGGCCTCTCTCATCTTTTTAAGTGGGAGAACTTGCACAATTGGTGGCTGACTAAATACTTTTTTCCCCCACTGTATGTGTAGTACTCTGTTTAGTTTGTTCTGGCTCTCGTACGAAGTAAGTAATACAGCACATTTGCAATGCATAGGTTGTCCTGCTTGTACTCCCTCAGGGAGGCCAACTTTATTTGTGTGGCTGCATGTGAGTATTTCCATCTCCTCACTTTTCTCTGATGAATCCCCTTTCCGATTGTTTGGGGCATCCGGAAAAAAGCTTGTCCGGAGAAGACAAGGTGATCGCTACCATCAGTCCTGTGTCATGCCAACAGTAAAGCATCCTGAGACCATTCATGTGTGGGGTTGCTTCTCAGCCAAGGGAGTGGGCTCACTCACAATTTTGCCTAAGAACACATCCATGAATAAAGAATGGTACCAACACATCCAACTTCTCCCAACCATCCAATAACAATTTGGTGACGAACAATGCCTTTTCCAGCATGATGGAGCACCTTGCCATAAGGCAAAAGTGATAACTAAGTGGCTCGGGGAACAAAACATCGACATTTTGGGTCCATGGCCAGGAAACTCCCCAGACCTTAATCCCATTGAGAACTTATGGTCAATCCTCAAAAGGCGGGTGGACAATCAAAAACCCACAAATTCTGACAAACTCCAAGCATTGATTATGCAAGAATGGGCTGCCATCAGTCAGGGTGTGGCCCAGAAGTTAATTGACAGCATGCCAGGGCGGATTGCAGAGGTCTTGAAAAAGAAGGGTCAACACTGCAAATATTGACTCTTTGCATAAACTTAATGTAATTGTCAATAAAAGCCTTTGACACTTATGGAATGCTTGTAATTATACTTCAGTATACCATAGTAACATCTGACAAAAATATCTCATAACACTGAAGCAGCAAACTTTGTGAAGACCAATACTTGTGTCATTCTCGACTGTACACATCTTTGTAAGGTTACAAAATTCCACTAACTTTTTTCCAGTTTTTCCAGAAATCCAGGATGGAGGATTCCAGAATGTCTGCTTATTTACGCCTGATTCCAGGAATCTTCCAAGTGGGATTTCTGGAAAACCTGGGAATATTTGGACATTTCCCAGAGTTTTGGGAACCCGATATCTGAGTCTCTGTGTTCTTCTCATCCTCCAGGTTTGCCAAGATTGAGATCAGTGCCTCCAAGCCGATCATCCCATTCAGAGAGACCGTGATCAGACCACCCAAAGTGGACATGGTCAATGAAGACCTGGGGAAACAACAGAAGGTGGGTGTGTGTGTGTATCTTTTAACAGATCTGTTGACATCTCAAACGACACCCCACATACTAGTAGTGTACTACAATTGAAGAGGCAGCAGCAATCTATGTGCACTATTACATTTACATTTTAGACATTTAGCAGACGCTCTTATCCAGAGCGACTTACAACTATCTAACCCTACTCTCCTGTGTGTGTGTGTTCTCGTGTGTGTGTTCTCGTGTGTGTTGTGTGTGTGTGTGTGTGCGCGTAGGTGGCTGTGCTCCACCAGGTGAAAGAGTCAGACACCCTGCACCTGGACCCCAGTGGCCTGGTCACCCTCACCACCCCCAACAGACAGGCCACCGTGGGGGTACGGGCCATACCACTACCCGAAGGTGAAAGAGAGTTGGGTGGTTGAGTTTGTGAGGGTGTGTGTGGGTTTGTCAGTGTGTGTTGATGTTTGTTGTTGTCAGACTTTCTTCTTAAGTCTATAGTTAAGGGGAAAAAATGGCAGTTAAGAAGACATTTCTTCTTAAGAAGGTTTTGTGAATCTGGGCCCTGATCCTGATCATAAAGTGTCCTGTTTTGTGTAGAGGTGACTCTTCTACTGGAGGATAGTGCTGACTTGATCCGGACCCTGGAGCAGGCAGGTCAGGCCCAGAGGGAGGGGAGGACCCTGGACATGAGTACCCGGACCCTGGATGCCCTGATGGGGATGAAGAGCAGGCTGGAGGCCCTGCTGCAGGGGAGGAAGTGGAGGAACGCAGTGGACCGGATATGGGCCTTCGGACCACGCAGGTATTTCATATGGGTTGAGACGGGATGGTATGCAGGTATTTCAGGGTGTTTCATATGGGTTGGGATGGTATGCAGGTACATTACATGAGCAAAAGTATGTGGACACCTGCTTGTCGAACATCTCATTCCAAAATCATGGTCATTAATATGGAGTTGGTCCCCCCTTTGCTGCTATAACAGCCTCCACTCTTTTGGGAAGGCTTTCCACTAGATGTTGGAACAGTGCTGTGGGGACTTGCGTCCATTCAGCCACGAGCATTAGTGAGGTTGGGCGATTAGGCCTGGCTCGCAGTCGGCGTTCCAATTCATCCCAAAGGTGTTCGATGGGGTTGAGGTCAGGCTCTGTGCAAGCCAGTCAAGTTCTTCCACACCGATCTAGACAAACCATTTCTGTATGGACCTTGCTTTCTGCACGGGGGCATTGTCATGCTGAAACAGGAAAGGGCCTTCCCCTAACTGTTGCCACAAAGTTGGAAGCACAGAATCGTCTAGAATGTCATTGTATGCCGTAGCGTTAAGATTTCCCTTCACTGGAACTAAGGGGCCTAGCCTGAACCATAAAAAACAGCCCCAGACCATTATTCCTCCTCCACCAAACTTTACAGTTGGCACTATGCATTGGGGAAGGTAGCGTTCTCCTGGCATCCGCCAAACCCAGATTCGTCCGTCGGACTGCCAGATGGTAAAGCGTGATTCATCACTCCAGAGAACGCGTTTCCACTGCTCCAGAGTCCAATGGCGGCGAGCTTTACACCACTCCAGCCGACGCTTGGCATTGTGCATGGTGATCTTAGGCTTGTGTACGGCTGCTCGGCCATGGAAACCCATTTCATGTAGCTCCCGACTAAAGTTATTGTGCTGACGTTGCTTCCAGAGGCAGTTTGGAACTCAGTAGTGAGTGTTGTAACCGAGGACAGACCATTTTTTTCAGCACTCGCCGGTCCGGTTCTGTGAGCTTGTGTGGCCTACCGCTTTGCTGCTGAGCCATTGTTGCTCCTAGACGTTTCCACCTCACAATAACAGCACTTACAGTTGACTGGGGCAGCTCTAGCAGGGCAGAAATGTGAAGAAACTGACTTGTTGGAAAGGTGGCATCCTATGACAGTGCCATGTTGAAATTCACTGAGCTCTTCAGTAAGGCCATTCTACTGCCAATGTTTGTCTGTGGAGATTGCATGGCTGTGTGCTCGGTTTATACACCTGTGAGCAACGGGTGTGGCTGAAATAGTGGAATCCATTAATGTAAAGGGGTGTCCACATACTTTTGTTTATATCATGTATTTCAGGGTATTTCATGTGGGTTGGGATGGGATGGTATGCAGGTATTTCAGGATATTTCATATGGGATGACATTTTGTGTTATTTTATATGAGATGAAATGGTTTGCTATGCAGGTATTTCATGGTAATTAATACGGCCTTGTTGTTCTTATTAGGTATGGACCAAACATCCTACTGAACAGCGTAGAGGGGTACCAGAGACCGTCCGTGTGGCACTGCCTCGAACGAGAGAAGGGAGAGAATGAGGGAGGGGAGAAAGCTGAGGCTGGCTCCATCCGAGACTTTGACAACAGCGTTGTCAGCGGTTTCCAGCTCGCCACCCTCTCTGGTCCCATGTGCGAGGAGCCCCTCATGGGCGTCTGCTTCTCCGTGGAGAGATGGGACATTAACTTCCCCACCCAGGGGACCCACCTGGAGTCTGTGACTGAAGAAGACGCCAACTCCCATGATGCATCAGCGTCCATTTCCGAAAGCCCCGGTGAGGCTGGAGGTCAGCAGGAGGCCTCAGGCAAGGCAGGGGTAGTGGGTGAGACGCCTCCCCAGGCAGAGGGTGCCGTGGCTGGGGCGAGCCAGGGGAGACGCAGGGCGGAGGTTGGGGCCGGGCTAGTGGACTGCTACGGGCCGTTCTCTGGCCAGCTCATAGCTGCTGTGAAGGAGGCTTGTCGACACGCGTTCCAGGCCAAACCTCAGAGACTCATGGCTGCTATGTATACCTGTGAGATAATGGCTACAGCAGAGGTGTTAGGTAAGAGGCTTAGCAGTACACACACGATAGAACACACAGACACACACACACGATACGACACACACACACAAAATAGAACACACACACAGACACGCACACACGATAGAACACACAGACACACACACGCGATAGAACATACAAACACACGGCAGAACACACAGACACACACACATGATAGAACACACAGACTCACACGATAGAACACACACTGGGCAAAACACAAACTAACCACTGATGTCTTAGGTAAATAGCTAAAACACAACACACACAAACCCCTTCAAGTCTGCTTCTTCAATCTTTCCTGGAGGCATTACTGCATTATAAACCACACAGGAGGTTGAGGGAATTATATAAACTTTTATTCAAGATACAAATGACTGTGATACATCTTGTCAGGACATTAAAGCCACGACATGACAACTAAACTACCAAGAATGTAACACCAGGTGGAGGGTGAAGTTGCTGCACAAAACTCACATTCTAGTGTGATAGGAGTCCATTGGACTAGTAATATTATACAGTGGGGGAAAAAAGTATTTAGACAGCCACCAATTGTGCAAGTTCTCCCACTTAAAAAGATGAGAGAGGCCTGTAATTTTCATCATAGGTACACGTCAACTATGACAGACAAAATGAGAAGAAAAGAAATCCAGAAAATCAGGTCTACAATTTTGTTTCTGGTGTCCTTTGACAGCTCTTTGGTCTTGGCCATAGTGGAGTTTGGAGTGTGACTGTTTGAGGTTGTGGACAGGTGTCTTTTATACTGATAACAAGTTCAAACAGGTGCCATTAATACAGGTAACGAGTGGAGGACAGAGGAGCCTCTTAAAGAAGTTGTTACAGGTCTGTGAGAGCCAGAAATATTGCTTGTTTGTAGGTGACCAAATACTTATTTCCACCATAATTTGCAAATAAATTCATTAAAAATCCTACAATGTGATTTTCTGGAAAAAAAATCTCAATTTGTCTGTCATAGTTGACGTGTACCTATGATGAAAATTACAGGCCTCTCTCATCTTTTTAAGTGGGGGAACTTGCACAATTGGTGGCTGATTAAATACTTTTTTCCCCCACTGTATATTATCCCATCCCAAATCTCTTAACTCATCCACTAAAATGTAGAGAAAACATTCATGATGATACAGTATTGGTTGATATTTATTAACAGAAAATATTGCCTGGTAACCACCCCCATTATTACTATCCATGCTCGAGAAATATTCTAACATTTGTCTTTGGAGTGTAGTGTAAATGATCACCAACTCTTGTTTTCTAAGGGTGCGTCCCAAATGTCACCCATTTCCCTGTATAGTGCACTACTTTTGGTCATCATTAAGATTAAAATGAGCCTTGCCCAACTTATGTTAGGGATAATCAATAAACCGATAATAAACCATATCTGAACAGCATGTTTAGCAGTCACATCCATGTCCAGAAAAAGTGCTCAGCCAGCCAAATCACCAGAATGAAGTGTGTTATTATGAGCCCATTTCAGAAACAATATTTATTTTTACTCACTTTTGCAATGCTAGCATCCCTTTAAATGGGTCGTTTGTCAAGCTCTTCTAATAGCTTGTTGTGAATACCAATGCTCTCCGCTCTATATACCCCCACTAGGAAAACGTAGTTTCATTAGTATCGATGAATGTGATCCATATTTTAATTACATGATGTATATTAAAATAGATGTTTACTTCACTACAAGGTCTTATACCATTTAGTGGAGAAATAGACTTGATCATTACTTTCATTACATCGTGTGCATTTTTTAGATGTAATCAATAGTTTGATTAGATCATGCATATAAATACATCAATAGTTCGATTAGATTGACCACATCGTTTCATACAAACAATCATCTGATTAGACTGTGTATAGCCAGCCACACTGTTCACATGGACAGAGTACACATGTTAAGCCACTTCTACTAATTGTCCTGTTTGTGTGCCTCTGTATGTGCAAATCTGTGTGTGTGTGTGTGTGTGTGTGTGTGTGTGTGTGTGTGTGTGTGTGTGTGTGTGTGTGTGTGTGTGTGTGTGTGTGTGTGTGTGTGTGTGTGTCCAGGTCGTGTGTACGGGGTCCTGGGGAAGAGAGAGGGCCGTGTGTTACAGGAGGAGATGAAGGAGGGGACGGAGATGTTCATCATCAAGGCGGTCCTTCCTGTGGCCGAGAGCTTCGGATTCGCAGACGAGATACGCAAGAGGACCAGTGGATTGGCTAGTCCACAACTGGTCTTCAGCCACTGGGAGGTGAGGCTCACACACATACACCCAGTCATGTGCTTCCTTGTGCAGACACATACGCTCACTCACTTACTCACACACACACACACACACACACACACACACACACACACACACACACACACACACACACACACACACACACACACACACACACACACAACACACACACATACAAATGCACACACAAACACATGCCAGGCTCACTCCATGCCATCTGGCCAGGTCTTTTTTTTTGGGGGGGGGGGGGGGTTGTGAGCTGCAACTCATCAGTCTGAAAATAGGTGCTTTTATTTTTAGCTCTTAATAATTGAATGGCTTCATAAATAAAGGAATAAAGGAAATCACAATGCTGAAATAGGATCAGTGTTTATTTCACCCTTGTCTCTCTAGAACTCAGTATGGGGTGAATCCTAACTAGTCTCCCATTGACATCAATACATGACTTCTCTGACAATCTCTGGCTCATCCTTATTATACCCCTTTCATATACTGACAAAAATCTTCTGTATACCTTCTTGTTTATATCTGAAAGGGGTAAGGGGTAAAAAAAAAACATGGTATATTAAAACCCACATCAAAACCTGGTCATGAAACCAGACCCTGTAACTAAAAAACAGATATCGGATCTGTGAAAATGGATCTCTGTTTGTAGGCAGGTCAATTCATTAGACCTTTTCTGAACTTGTGGACCGTCGACACTGAAACCTCAAACAACTGTCTTTTCTATGTCTGCATCCAAAATAGCACCCTATTTCCTATATAGAGTACTAGTTTTGACTCGGGCACCCTATTTCCTATATAGAGCACTAGTTTTGACTCGGGCACCCTATTTCCTATATAGAGCACTAGTTTTGACTCGGGCACCCTATTTCCTATATAGAGCACTAGTTTTGACTCGGGCACCCTATTTCCTATATAGAGCACTAGTTTTGACTCGGGCACCCTATTTCCTATATAGAGCACTAGTTTTGACTCGGGCACCCTATTTCCTATATAGAGCACTAGTTTTGACTCGGGCACCCTATTTCCTATATAGAGCACTAGTTTTGACTCGGGCACCCTATTTCCTATATAGAGCACTAGTTTTGACTCGGGCACCCTATTTCCTATATAGAGTACTAGTTTTGACTCGGGCACCCTATTTCCTATATAGAGCACTAGTTTTGACTCGGGCACCCTATTTCCTATATAGAGCACTAGTTTTGACTCGGGCACCCTATTTCCTATATAGAGCACTAGTTTTGACTCGGGCACCCTATTTCCTATATAGAGCACTAGTTTTGACTCGGGCACCCTATTTCCTATATAGAGCACTAGTTTTGACTCGGGCACCCTATTTCCTATATAGAGCACTAGTTTTGACTCGGGCACCCTATTTCCTATATAGAGCACTAGTTTTGACTCGGGCACCCTATTTCCTATATAGAGCACTAGTTTTGACTCGGGCACCCTATTTCCTATATAGAGTACTAGTTTTGACCCGAGTACCCTATTCCCAATATAGTACACTACTTTTGACTCGGTAACCCTATTCCCTAATCCCTATATAGAGCACTACTTTCGACCAGAGCCCTTGCTAAAAGTACTGCACTATATAGGAAATGGGGTTAAATTTGGGAGGCCTGACTCTGAGGTGCCCTTACAATAAATGACTGAACTGGCATGGATGTTTTTAGCACCCATGTTAATATTTTTATGCAAATATCTGTGTCTTCAGTTATGTGTGAGCTCTTTGGCCACACACACCAGTGGTGTGTTTGACGTCGTAATGAGAATGCATTAGCTGAAAAGAACCCCATACCTACTGTACAAACTGGTGGTGGATCTAAGATGTTATGGGGCTATTCTGCTTCTACTAGTCCTGGGGCACTTGTTAAGGTCAACGGCGTCATGAACTTTACCCAGTACCAGGACATTTTGGCCCAAAATCTGGTTGCCTCTGCCAGGAGGCTGAAACTTGGCCGCAAGTGAATCTTCCAGTAAGACAATAACCCCAAGCACACATCAAAATCAACATTTTGCAATGGCCATCAGTCTCCGGACTTGAAACCCATTGAAAACCAGTGGTTTGAATTGAAGAGGGCAGTCCATAAGCGCAGACAATGGTTATGAAGGATCTGGAAGGATTCTGTATGAAGGAATGGTCTTAGATCCCTCCCAATGTATTCTCTAACTCATAAAACATTTTAGAAAAAGGCTCAGTGCCATTATCCTCACAAGGTGAGGTTTTGAAAACAGGGTCTCTTTATCTGAGCAGTTGTATTAGTATAAAATAATATAATTTCCCAATTATATGTTTGCAGAAAAAAGCCAAGGGATGGGTTTCTCAATACCTTCAAAAATATTTATTTGAAGTTTTTCAATACATTTTAATATTTATAGCTACTTTGTAAGTTATTACCTGCAGTCAACTTGTTCAATACGTTAGGAGATAAAGCAGATTGCGTTCTTCATTTCACCTGTCACATTATTTTACATGATGAAGGTTAGCATAGTTCCCAGAACAGTTGAGCCAGTCACGTGTTCATTGTAAAGAGCACAACAAGAGAAAGTGGAGCTGGTGAGTCCATAGCGTTCTATCGACAAGTCTCTGTTGTACGGCGCACGAGGTGATGAAGTTACACATGTATGCAATCCCTACTAAATGTTTGACATCAGATATCTTATAAATGCTTTCTGCTGTGTTTTAAAAGTCAAAAAGCTCGGTTATCTGTACAGCTGCCATTGTTTCCTACTAGCATTTCTTCCTCCTCCATTCTTCTCCACTCTGCTCCGTGTACACATTTTGTTCGTTTTCACAATTTCTCTTGTTCACTTACGCTTGTAAATGTCCACATTCATCGAAAATGACATTCGGTAACTAGCTATGCATGTTTAACTTTATGAGCTGGATTTGCCTATATTTGCAATTAGTTTGTTCGTTTTCGCTCGTTAGCATTTAGCTAACAGAGTATATGTGATTTCGCTATTACTTGTGCTAAGTTTGTTAGCATTCCGGTAATAGAAGCCCAATGGGCTTTTTCTTCTCTTTGTGCCCCCTTGTGTGCTATGCCGGTAATACCGTAAATCCCAGGATGGCAGAAGAACAGTATGACATTTTGAAAATCTGGATACCTCCCAAGCCTAATACAATGTACTGTGTAGCTCAGTATTTTTATAATTTGTTTTATACAGTCATGTTTGCTCATCTTTATCAAGGGGGGGCAATAATTTCAGACCCCTTCGGAAAGTATTCAGACCCCTTGACTTTTTCCACATTTTGTTACTTTACAGCCTTATTCTAAAATGGATTACATACAAATATTTTCTCAGCAATCTACACACAATACCTCATAATAACAAAGTGAAAACTGCTTTTTAGACATTTTTGCAAATGTATTAAAATAAACAAAAAACAGAAACAGGGGGAATTTAATTCATTTTAGAATAAGGCTGTAACCTAACAAAATGTGGAAAAAGTCAAGGGGTCTGAATACTTTCCGAAGGAACTGTATGTGATGTGTATTATGTGCTTCTTCTTTTGTGTGTGTGTGTGTGTGTGTGTGTGTGTGTGTGTGTGTGTGTGTGTGTGTGTGCGCGCGCGCGCGCGTCTGCCTGCCCGCCTGCCTGTCTGTCTGGGGGTTTAAGTGGTTATTGTTCCAGGTCAGCTAATTTAATTGGCCGAGAGCGCTGGCCGTTGTTAATGAGCGTGTGCAGCCCGGTGACACACACACACACAGGCCTAGTGGACAGCTTTACGGTCTGACCTGATGTCACACTGCATGAATCGCCAAGCAGAAGAAACACCACACACACAGGCCTAGTGGACAGCTTTACGGTCTGACCTGATGTCACACTGCATGAATCGCCAAACAGAAGAGACACTACTTTTATTATGTATTCTATAATATATATACAGTACCAGTCAAAAGTTTGGACACACCTCAAGGGTTTTTCTTTAATTTTACTATTTTCTACATTGTAGAATAATAGTGAAGACATCAAAACTATGAAATAACACATATGGAATCATGTAGTAACCAAAAAAGTGTTCAACAAATCAAAATATATTTTAGATTCTTCAAAGTAGCCACCCTTTGCCTTGATGCCAGCTTTGCATTCTCTCAACAAGCTTCATGAGGTAGTCACCTGGAATGCTTTTCCAACAGTCTTGAAGGAGTTCCTACATATGCTGAGCACTTGTTGGCTGCTTTTCCTTCACTCTGCGGTCCAACTCATCCCAAACCATCTCAATTGGGTTGAGGTCGGGGGATTGTGGAGGCCAGGTCATCTGATGCAGCACTCCATCACTCTCCTTCTAGTTCAAATAGCCCTTACACAGCCTGAAGGTGTGTTTTGTGTCATTGTCCTGTTGAAAAACAAATGATAGTCCCATTAAGTGCAAACCAGATGGGATGGTGTATCGCTGCAGAATGCTGTGGTAGCCATGCTGGTTAAGTGTGCCTTGAATTCTGAATAAAACACTGACAGTGTCACCAGCAAAGCACCATCACACCTCCTCCTCCATGCTTCACGGTGGGAACCACACATGCGGAGATCATCCGTTCACCTACTCTGCGTCTCACAAAGACACGGCGGTTGGAACCAAGAATCTCAAATTTGGACTCATCAGACCACATGACAGATTTCCACCGGTCTAATGTCGATTGCTCGTGTTTTTGGCCCAAGCAAGTCTCTTCTTCTTATTGGTGTGCTTTAGTAGTGGTTTCTTTGCAGCAATTCGACCATGAAGGCCTGATTCACACAGTCTCCTCTGAACAGTTGATGTTGAGATGTGTCTGTTACTTGAACTCTGTGAGGTGCAATCTGAGGTGCAGTTAATTGCCCATTTCTGAGGCTGATAACTCTAATGAACTTATCCTCTGCAGCACAGGTAACTCTGGGTCTTCCTTTCCTGTGGCGGTCCTCATGAGAGCCAGTTTCATCATAGCGCTTGATGGTTTTTGGGACTGCACTTGAAGAAACGTTCAAAGTTCTTGAAATTTTCCGGATTGACTGACCTTCATGTCTTAAGTCGCTCTGGATAAGAGCGTCTGCTAAATGACTAAAATGTAAATGTAAATGTTAAATTAATGATGGACTGTCATTTCTCTTTGCTTATGTGAGCTGTTCTTGCCATAATATGGACTTGGTCTTTTACCAAATAGGGCTATCTTCTGTATACCTTGTCACAACACAACTGATTGGCTCAAACGCATTAAGAAGGAAAGAAATTCCACAAATTAACTTTTAATAAGGCACACCTGTTAATTGAAATACATTCCAGGTGACTACCTCATGAAGTTGGTTGAGAGAATGCCATCAAGGAAAAGGGTGGCTACTTTGAAGAATCTAAAATCTAAAATATATTTCTATTTGTTTAACACTTTTTTGGTTACTTCATGATTCCATATGTGTTATTTCATCATTTTGATGCCTTGGGTATTGTTCTACAATGTAGAAAATAGTAAAAATAAAGAAAAACCCTGGAATGAGTAGGTGTGTCCAAACTTTTGGCTGGTACTGTATATGTATGTATGTATGTATGTATGTATGTATGTATGTATGTATGTATGTATGTGCAGTGGGGAGAACAAGTATTTGATACACTGCCGATTTTGCAAGTTTTCCTACTTACAAAGCATGTAGAGGTCTGTAATTTTTTATCATAGGTACACTTCAACTGTGAGAGACGGAATCTAAAACAAAAATCCAGAAAATCACATTGTATGATTTTTAAGTAATTAATTTGCATTTTATTGCATGACATAAGTATTTGATACATCAGAAAAGCAGAACTTAATATTTGGTACAGAAACCTTTGTTTGCAATTACAGAGATCATACGTTTCCTGTAGGTCTTGACCAGGTTTGCACACACTGCAGCAGGGATTTTGGCCCACTCCTCCATACAGACCTTCTCCAGATCCTTCAGGTTTCGGGGCTGTCACTGGGCAATACAGACTTTCAGCTTCCTCCAAAGATTTTCTATTGGGTTCAGGTCTGGAGACTGGCTAGGCCACTCCAGGACCTGGAGATGCTTCTTACGGAGCAACTGCTTAGTTGCCCTGGCTGTGTGTTTCGGGTCGTTGTCATGCTGGAAGACCCAGCCACGACCCATCTTCAATGCTCTTACTGAGGGAAGGAGGTTGTTGGCCAAGATCTCGCGATACATGGCCCCATCCATCCTCCCCTCAATACGGTGCAGTCGTCCTGTCCCCTTTGCAGAAAAGCATCCCCAAAGAATGATGTTTCCACCTCCATGCTTCACGGTTGGGATGGTGTTCTTGGGGTTGTACTCATCCTTCTTCTTCCTCCAAACACGGCGAGTGGAGTATAGACCAAAAAGCTATATTTTTGTCTCATCAGACCACATGACTTTCTCCCATTCCTCCTCTGGATCATCCAGATGGTCATTGGCAAACTTCAGACGGGCCTGGACATGCGCTGGCTTGAGCAGGGGGACCTTGCGTGTGCTGCAGGATTTTAATCCATGACGGCGTAGTGTGTTACTAATGGTTTTCTTTGAGACTGTGGTCCCAGCTCTCTTCAGGTTATTGACCAGGTCCTGCCGTGTAGTTCTGGGCTGATCCCTCACCTTCCTCATGATCATTGATGCCCCACGAGGTGAGATCTTGCATGGAGCCCCAGACCGAGGGTGATTGACCGTCATCTTGAACTTCTTCCATTTTCTAATAATTGCGCCAACAGTTGTTGCCTTCTCACCAAGCTGCTTGCCTATTGTCCTGTAGCCCATCCCAGCCTTGTGCAGGTCTACAATTTTATCCCTGATGTCCTTACACAGCTCTCTGGTCTTGGCCATTGTGGAGAGGTTGGAGTCTGTTTGATTGAGTGTGTGGACAGGTGTCTTTTATACAAGTAACGAGTTCAAACAGGTGCAGTTAATACAGGTAATGAGTGGAGAACAGGAGGGCTTCTTAAAGAAAAACTAACAGGTCTGTGAGAGCCGGAATTCTTACTGGTTGGTAGGTGATCAAATACTTATGTCATGCAATAAAATGCAAATTAATTACTTAAAAATCATACAATGTGATTTTCTGGATTTTTGTTTTAGATTCAGTCTCTCACAGTTGAAGTGTACCTATGATAAAAATGACAGACCTCTACATGCTTTGTAAGTAGGAAAACCTGCAAAATCGGCAGTGTATCAAATACTTGTTCTCCCCACTGTATGTGTGTGTGTGTGTATATACAGTTGAAGTCGGAGGTTTACATACACCTTAGCCAAATACATTTAAACTCAGTTTTTTACAATTCTTGACATTTCATCCTAGTAAAAATTGCCTGTCTTAGGTCAGTTAGGATCAGCACTTTATTTTAAGAATGTGAAATGTGAGAATAATAGTAGAGAGAATTATTTCTTTCAGCTTTTATTTATTTCATCACATTCCCAGTGGGTCAGAAGTTTACATACACTCAATTAGTATTTGGTAGCATTGCCTTTAAATTGTTTAACTTGGGTCAAACGTTTCGGGTAGCCTTCCTTGGGGTCATTGTCCATTTGGAAGACCCATTTGCGACCAAGCTTTAACTTCCTGACTGATGTCTTGAGATTTTGCTTCAATATATCCACATAATTTTCCTTCCTCATGATGCCATCTATTTTGTGAAGTGCAGCAGTACCTCCTGCAGCAAAGCACCCTCAGAGCATGATGCTGCCACCCCCGTGCTTCACGGTTGGGATGGTGTTCTTCGGCTTGCAAGCTACCCCCTTTTCCTCCAAACATAACGATGGTCATTATGGCCAAACAGTTCTATTTTTGTTTCATCCGTCCAGAGGACATTTCTCCAAAAAGTATGATCTTTGTCCCCATGTGCAGTTGCAAACCGTAGTCTGGCTTTTTTATGGGGGTTTTGGAGCAGTAGCTTCTTCCTTGCTGAGCGGCCTTTCAGGTTATGTCGATATAGGACTCATTTTACTGTGGATATAGATACTTTTGTACCTGTTTCCTCCAGCATCTTCACAAGGTCCTTTGCTGTTGTTCTGGGATTGATTTGCACTTTTCGCACCAAAGTACGTTTATCTCTAGGAGACAGAACGCGTCTCCTTCCTGAGCGGTATGACGGCTGCATGGTCCCATGGTGTTTATACACTGCTCCAAAAAATGAAGGGAACACTAAAATAACACATCCTAGATCTGAATGAATGAAATAATCTTATTAAATACTTTTTTCTTTACATAGTTGAATGTGCTGACAACAAAATCACACAAAAATTATCAATGGAAATCAAATTTGTCAACCCATGGAGGTCTGGATTTGGAGTCACACTCAAAATTAAAGTGGAAAACCACACTACAGGCTGATCCAACTTTGATGTAATGTCCTTAAAACAAGTCAAAATGAGGCTCAGTAGTGTGTGTGGCCTCCACGTGCCTGTATGACCTCCCTACAACGCCTGGGCATGCTCCTGATGAGGTGGCGGATGGTCTCCTGTGGCATCTCCTCCCAGACCTGGACTAAAGCATCCGCCAACTCCTGGACTGTCTGTGGTGCAACGTGGCGTTGGTGGATGGAGCGAGACATGATGTCTCAGATGTGCTCAATTGGATTCAGGTCTGGGGAACGGGCGGGCCAGTCCATAGCATCAATGCCTTCCTCTTGCAGGAACTGCTGACACACTCCAGCCACATGAGGTCTAGCATTGTCTTGCATTAGGAGGAACCCAGGGCCAACCGCACCAGCATATGGTCTCACAAGGGGTCTGAGGATCTCATCTCGGTACATAATGGCAGTCAGGCTACCTCTGGCGAGCACATGGAGGGCTGTGCGGCCCCCCAAAGAAATGCCACCCCACACCATGACTGACCCACCGCCAAACCGGTCATGCTGGAGGATGTTGCAGGCAGCAGAACGTTCTCCACGGCGTCTCCAGACTCTGTCACGTCTGTCACATGTGCTCAGTGTGAACCTGCTTTCATCTGTGAAGAGTACAGGGCGCCAGTGGCAAATTTGCCAATCTTGGTGTTCTCTGGCAAATGCCAAACGTCCTGCACGGTGTTGGGCTGTAAGCACAACCCCCACCTGTGGACGTTGGGCCCTCATACCACCCTCATGGAGTCTGTTTCTGACTGTTTGAGCAGACACATGCACATTAGTGGCCTGCTGGAGGTCATTTTGCAGGGCTCTGGCAGTGCTCCTCCTGCTCCTCCTTGCACAAAGGCGGAGGTAGCGGTCCTGTTGCTGGGTTGTTGCCCTCCTACGGCTTCCTCCACGTCTCCTGATGTACTGGCCTGTCTCCTGGTAGCGCCTCCATGCTCTGGACACTACGCTGACAGACACAGCAAACCTTCTTGCCACAGCTCGCATTGATGTGCCATCCTGGATGAGCTGCACTACCTGAGCCACTTGTGTGGGTTGTAGACTCCGTCTCATGCTACCACTAGAGTGAAAGCACCGCCAGCATTCAAAAGTGACCAAAACATCAGCCAGGAAGCATAGGAACTGAGAAGTGGTCTGTGGTCACCACCTGCAGAACCACTCCTTTATTGGGGGTGTCTTGCTAATTGCCTATAATTTCCACCTGTTGTCTATTCCATTTGCACAACAGCATGTGAAATGTATTGTCAATCAGTGTTGCTTCCTAAGTGGACAGTTTGATTTCACAGAAGTGTGATTGACTTGGAGTTACATTGTGTTGTTTAAGTGTTCCCTTTATTTTTTTGAGCAGTGTACTTGCGTACTATTGTTTGTATAGATGAACGTGGTACCTTCAGGTGTTTGGAAATTGCTCCCAAGGATTAACCAGACTTGTGGCGGTCTATAATTTTTTTTCTGAGGTCTTGGCTGATTTCTTTTGATTTTCTCATGATGTCAAGCAAAGAAGCATTGAGTTTGAAGGTAGGACTTGAAATACATCCACAGGTGCACCTCCAATTGACTCAACTGATGTCAATTAGCCTATCAGAAGCTTCTAAAGCCATGACATCATTTTCTGGAATTTTCCAAGCTGTTTAAAGGCACAGTCAACTTAGTGTATGTAAACTTCTGACCCACTGGAATTGTGATACAGTGAATTATAAGTGAAATAATCTGTCTGTAAACAATTGTTGGAAAAATTAATTGTGTCATGCACAAAGTAGATGTCCTAACCGACTTGCCAAAACTATAGTTTGTTAAGTTTTAATGACTCCAACCTAAGTGTATGTAAACTTCTGACTTCAACTGTCTATATGTATTATATTATTATTAGTATCACTGCATTGTTGGGAAAGAGCTCTCAAGGTAAGAATGGCACTGTACTGTTCTACACCTGTTGTATCCTGTGCACGTGGTGAATAAATGTTGAAACTTGAAACTAGATGCGACACACACACTATGCAAATTAATTACAACACACAGCCTGTCAATCAGTATTAGATCCCCCCCCCCACATTGTTGTTAGCCTTTTTGTGTGAGCTTCGTTAAAACATGTCTGTCTGGTTTCATTTACGTTACTCTGTCATTATCTGAAGCAGTTAGAGGTTGTTACTCCATAGACAATCATGACCATGCAGGCAGTTACTCCATAGACAATCATGACAACACAGATTGTTACTCCATAGACAATCATGACAACATAGATAGCTACTCCATAGACAATCATGACAACATGGATAGTTACTCCATAGACAATCATGACAACACACATTGTTACTCCATAGACAATCATGACAACACAGATTGTTACTCCATAGACAATCATGACAACATAGATAGCTACTCCATAGCCAATCATGACAACATGGATAGTTACTAGGGGTGTAACGATCCATCTACTACATCGATGTATCGATTTATATTCCTATGATCCAACTACATCGATCTGTGCTCGGCGAGTTGGCCTTTTGGACAACATATATCGATCTAACATCGTTTTAAAATGTAATAAATCGATTGTATCGATACTAGGAAATAACCCATTGGATTTAAGCACGTCAGACTTTATATGGATGTTTTTTCTTAGCACTTTTAATGATAAAGGCTTTAAACATTACTCGATTCAGTCTGCCTATCCGTGACGTCATCGCGCCAACAGCAGCGCAAAGGCGCAAAGACAACAAAACATAGGATGGCGGACGACAGAGGAGAAGCCGACGAGCGAGAAATTATCAAGCCACCATTGCGGTCCTTACAAGAAACAGGAATCTAGGAAACTTCACCTGCACTGTCCAGTATCCAGGTATTTATTTCAGTCACACTGGTTGAATTTTTGGCTAAAAGGTTACTGAATCGATTTCAAGTCACTGAATCGTTTCGGATCGTATCGTTCTAAATGAACCAATATCGTCCTTGAATCGTATCGACAACCACGAATCGTGATACAAATCGAATCGTTGTTAAAACGAATCGTTACACCCCTAATAGTTACTCCATAGACAATCATGACAACACAGATTGTTACTCCATATACAATCATGACAACACAGATTGCTACTCCATAGACAATCATGACAACATAGATAGCTACTCCATAGACAGTGACAATGGGGTTTTAGTAGACTCCACCTTGCTTCTATCGAATCTATTCTATACATCTAGTCTATTTAAATTAGATGTAAGCTAATGTTAGCATTTAGTTGCTCATTGATTTGCTATGGACTTCATATTTATTGAACATATGAATAGCGTTTAGTGACAGAGGGAGAGCTCTTCTGTGAGTGTTGTATTGTTGTGTTAGCAGCTATGTGTGTAATGTTATGGACTTACATTAGATTAGCATGAGAAAGAGGTATTGTGACAAGGACAGAACTTTTGTGCCTCCCATTGTGTTGTAGTTCAGGGACTAGCATCTGCTGTAAGGCTGTGTGTGTGTGTTTGTGTGTGTGTGTGTGTGTGTGTGTGTGTGTGTGTGTGTGTGTGTGTGTGTGTGTGTGTGTGTGTGTGTGTGTGTGTGTGTGTGTGTGTGTGTGTGTGTGTGTGTTCATTCAGACTAATGTACGTGAGGCCCAATGACACGCTTCATGGAGCGCAGTGACAAAAGTTCTCTCTCTCACTCACTCACTCACACACACACACACACACAGCAGTGAGACAAAGGCTCCTGTAAAGATAAGTAACCGAAGCCATGCACACAACAGGGGCCACAGAGAGGAGATTAAATCAAAGACCTGTGTGTGTCTTTGCTTGTGTGTGTCGGCCCCCCTGTTGGTACATTCCCCCCGTTACAGTTAGAGCTGAGCACCCGCCACTCTAACCCTGCACACGTACACACACAATGAAACACACACCCATTCGCCCTACTGGACCCAATTGTGCCGAGATATATGTTACTCACGTGGTTCCCCAGTGTGTGTGTGTGTGTGTGTGTGTGTGTGCGTGTGCGTGCCACCTCATAATCTGTCTGGTGTTGTTCCTCCTTTCTCCCATCTGTTGCCTGCAACCAGAGTCTGTCGCTCGGGGCCCCTAACGGCCAGGTGCAGGGGCCCGCGTACACACTGGTACAGTAATTGTGGCATTGTGTGTGTGTGTGAAGCAGCAGAAGGCATTGCCTCATCTCCACAGCAGGTTGCACATAGCCGGGCCCTCACCAACACACACACACACACACAGTCTCTCTCCCCTAGAACACAGTGACACAGTGTTGAACTGGATGTCAGTGTGACTGACTGCTTTGGAAGAACACATGTATCTCTATAACCCCCCCTATTGTCAGAGCCTGATGGAGGGAGGGAGAGAGAGGGGGGAGGTAGAGGTAGAGAGAGGCAGGGAGAGAGAGGGAGGTAGAGAGAGGCAGGGAGAGAGAGGGAGGTAGCGCGTGGGAGGTAGCGCGTGGGAGGTAGAGCGAGGGAGGTAGAGAGAGAGAGAGGGAGAGGGAGAGAGACCGGGACAGGGAGAAGCTGAGTTGGATAACAGTATTCATGATCCCTTCCTTGTCTGCCACCACTGCTGAGCAAAGCTTAGCCAAGACAGGGTTCTTTCTCGTGTGGAGTAGATACCATTGTCCGCTCCATGCATTACATCTAAGTTAATATTTATGGATTTATGGGTCAGGGCCCGTATCCACAAGGTGTCTCAGATTAGGAGTGCTGATCTAGGATCCGTTTAGCCTTTTCAGTCATAATGAATAAGATGATATGGACAGGGATGACCAGACCTGACTCTGAGATGTTTTGGGGATACAGGCCCTGATCTTTGTATCTATAGGCCATTTTATTAAGCATTATCCTGGTCAGTGGTGTACTTCAAACTAAATCTCTGTCTTTATGTACTTCAAACTAAATCTGTCTTTATGTACTTCAAACTAAATCTCTGTCTTTATGTACTTCAAACGAAATCTCTCTCTTTATGTACTTCAAACTAAATCTCTCTCTTTATGTACTTCAAACTAAATCTCTGTCTTTATGTACTTCAAACTAAATCTGTCTTTATGTACTTCAAACTAAATCTCTGTCTTTATGTACTTCAAACTAAATCTGTCTTTATGTACTTCAAACTAAATCTCTCTCTTTATGTACTTCAAACGAAATCTCTGTCTCTGTCTCTCTCTGTATCAAGGTGATCTCCAGTGATCCGTCCTGGGTTCCTACCACAGAAGAGGAGTACCTCCACTTTGGAGAGAAGGCTGATTCGGCCAATCAGGCTCTGAAATACATGAACGCTGTTCGCCGGCGCAAAGGACTGTACGTGGAGGAGAAGATAGTGGAGCACGGCGAGAAACAGAGAACACTTAGCAAGAACAAATAGGCCTGTGAGTTTCCTGACTGACTCCTACCAGCACACACCCGAGACAGACACCATAAAGAGCATCCAGTGGATACTGTCCCCCATCATTACCCCCTCTGTCACTCAAAATGAACTATTGATACGTTTACATTATGGAGTAGTTTCCCTGAAAATCTCCTTAGAAAAATATTTTTAGTCCAGGAATAGGCTTAATATGTGTCTGGGAAACCGGCCCTATGGGTTTAAATAGCTGCACATTCAGCTGTGTCTTTACCCGGGAGAATCCCTTTCAGCTATGCATAATTGACGAGTGTTCCCGTCCAAATCCAGTTTTGCTGTTAAGTGAAGTGGCTTGAATTAATTTCTGCTCTCAACCTAATTGAATTGCAGTACCCAGCCCCCTGAAGAGCGGCATTTAATTTGGAAAAACACAAATATGATGTAAAGTGGGATTGTACGTTTTTAAATTATTTGGGGACCGCGCTAGCGAGCTATAGCCTTGTTGATATGCTATGTTTAGAGCTCTGGGTAAGGCATCTGTGTACAAGACATAAACCAAAATGTACAGTATTTACCAGAAAGCAATAAATAAATTAAATTGTGTCTTTTTTTTTTTATTAATCGGGAGTGATGTGTGTGGGTCATTTCTGAGATGCGATGGCATTTAGGCATGGCATTTTAGAAAATAATTACTTAATTTTTATAGATTATTAAAAAATATAGATATTTGGGTACCTCTTCCCATTCTAAATCAAATAATATGGCATCTTAATGACTAATGAATTGTTACCATTATGATCACATGCCACCAGTAGGAGTAGCAACACCAAGGACGGTAACATCAATGACACATTTCAGGTAATTGAGGATTTTATTAGATGGGGCCACAGATTTTCATGAACCCTTTTAAAATCATTTGCTAAAGCGATATAATTAATCATTTTTCTCACAATTTCCCTTCATTTAAATTGAGTAACACCAAGAACACTTTTTATTCAGACACACCAAATTATTAATGGAATCCTCAAATGTATCATTTTGCAGATTAGAGGCTGTGTGTGTGTTCTCCTAGGAAAATTCTGAGACAGTTTGCCATCATTTTTAAATTTTAGTCATTTAGCAGACGCTCTTATGCAGAGCCACTTACAGTTAGTGAGTGCATACATATTTATTATTTTCATACTGGCCCTCCATGGGAATCGAACCCACAACCCTGGCGTTGCAAGCGCCATGCTCTACCATCTGAGCTACACGGGACCATCACTGGGAAACTCCTTGCACTTCAATCCATGTACTAGAACTGCTCTACAAGTTCTCCCTCTTCATTCCCCCTTCTATGTCTCCACTCCTCTCAAAGACGTGTTCCCATTGTGCTGTCTGACCCCCATCCGCTCCTTCACCCCCCCCCTCCTCATCTCCCCTTTTCCTCCAATCCCCACTCCTTCCCCTCCCCCACTCCTTCCCCTCTCCTCTCCCCCACTCCTTCCCCTCTCCTCCCCCCCACTCCTTCCCCTCTCCCCTCCCCACTCCTTCCCCTCTCCCCTCCCCCACTCCTTCCCCTCTCCCCGGGCCTGAGGAAGAAAGATCTCGACCAAGAAAACAAAGAATATCAACGGTCATTGAGGTGTGTGCACGCGCAAGTGTAAAGTAACATGAGACCGCACAAAAGAGTTAAAACACACTGGCCCATGGCTGAGCTTGATTGAAAATGGGTTGAATGATTGTGAGCTAGTATGTCCATCTATTGGTCGTTACACCAGGTAAGGGCTTCCTGAGGTGAAAAGGCCATTTGAGATTCAAATTGGCACGGGATGCATCTCAATAGTCTAAAGTGGCCTCCTCTCCTTGTTCCCTCCTTCATCTGCACTGTTCAGCAAATTGGCCAAAGCAATATGGAAGATGCCTACCAGGACTTTGCTTTCACCTGACAAGTTATTTCACACCAGTGCAGATGACGGGAAGAAGATTGTAGTCATTCAATCTATTTTGTCTTGTGTATAACATGTATTTTTGTGATGGTGCAGCTATGATGTCCAAATACAAATTTGTCCTTGTGGACCATAACATCTATATTATCTTCCCTTATCATTTAAATGGATAGTTTACCCAGAAACCACATTTGCCCACATTTCCTATTCTTGTATATACTATACTTTGGAAATGCTGATATCTTCAATTACTTCCTGAAGACAATGATTGCTCTTCAAAAAACGTCATCATTCATCACGATAGTTGAGCTTGGCCTCTCTTCCAGGCCTTCGATTCCCACAACTGTATTTTTATTTTATTTTTTTAAACACAACTCACTTTGAAGCTTGAAGACAGGGAACGACATTGCCAGTGCCACAAAGCATCTTCCCAGTGAGCACAGGACGTTAAAAAGAGTGGGCCGAGAGGACATGGGGAGAGTAGAGAGAGTGAGCGGGAGGGAAAGAAAACAGACATGTACGCTGCTTGCTAGAGCTGTCACAACACAGTGGATGTATCCCTCGAATGCATCCCTCGCCTGCTAGGAAGTTCCAACCACTGTAGACAGTGGTGAAAATTGTAATCCACAGACATATGTTTAAATAACATGAATCACAAACCGAGTGGTTATGAACAAGAAAATCAAACCTTTGCACAAATTGTACAACCTTAGTGTGGTTGTTTTTCTATGTGTGACCATGAGCCATTTTGTCTAAAAGTTAGTGAAGTGTGTTGCATTCCTCCTGCTGTGAAGCAGCATAGGAAATAGCTGTGCTACAGTGCATTCGGAAAGTATTCAGACCTGTGACATTTTCCAAATGTTGTTACGTTACAGCCTTATTCTAAAATTGATTAAATTGTTTTTTTCCTCATCAATCTACACACAATAGCCCATAATGACAAAGCTAAAACATGTTTTTAGAAATGTTTGCAAATGTATAAAAATAAAGAAAACAGAAATATCACATTTACATAAGTATTTAGACCCTTTTCTATGAGACTCGAAATTGAGCTCAGGTGCATCCTGTTTCCATTGATCATCCTTGAGATGCTTCTACAACTTGATTGGAGTCCACCTGTGGTAAATTCAATTGATTGGACATGATTTGGAAAGGCACACATCTGTCTATATAAGGTCCCAGAGTTGACATTGCATGTCAGAGCAAAAACCAAGCTATGAGGTCGAAGGAATTGTCCGTAGAGCTCAGAGACAGGATTGTGTCGAGGCACAGATCTGGGGAAGGGTAGCAAAACATTTCTGCAGCATTGAAGGTCCCCAAGAACACAGTGGCCTCCATCATTCTTAAATGGAAGAAGTTTGGAACCACAAAGACTCTTCCTAGAGCTGGCCGCCCGGTCAACTGAGCAATCGGGGAAGAAGGGCCTTGGTCAGGGAGGTTACCAAGAACCCGATGGTCACTTTGACAGAGCTCTAGAGTTCCTGTGTGGAGATGGGAGAACCTTCCAGAAGGACCACCATCTCTGCAGCACTCCACCAATCAGGCCTTTATGGTAGAGTGGCCAGACGGAAGCCACTCCTCAGTAAAAGGCACATGACAGCCCGCTTGGAGTTTTCCAAAAGGCACCTAAAGACTCTTAGACCATGAGAAACAAGATTGAACTCTTTGGCCTGAATGCCAAGCGTCACGTCTGAAGGAACCCTGTCACCATCCTTACACTGAAGCATGGTGGTGGCAGCGTCATGCTGTGGGGATGTTTTTCAGCAGCAGGGACTGGGAGACTAGTCAGGATCGAGGCAAAGCTGTACGGAGCAAAGTACACAGAGATCCTTGACGAAAACCTGCTCCAGAGCGCTCTGGACTTCAGACTGGGGCGAAGGTTCACCTTCTAACAGGACAACGACCCTAAGCACACAGCCAAGACAACGCAGGAGTGGCTTTGGGACAAGTCTCTGAATGTCCTTAAGTGGCCCAGCCAGTCCGGACTTGAACCTGATAGAACATCTATGGAGAGACCTGGAAATAGCTGTGCAGCAACGCTCCCCTCCAACCTGACAGAGCTTGAGAGGATCTGCAGAGCGGAATGGGAGAAACTCCCCAAATACAGGTGTCAAGCTTGTAGCATCATACCCAAGAAGACTCGAGGCTGTAATCGCTGCCAAAGGTGCTTCAACAAAGTACTGAGTAAAGGGTCTGAATACTTATGTAAATGTGATATTTCTAACAACCTGCTTTTGCTTTTATTATGGGGTATGGTGTGCAGATTGATGAGGGAAAAAAACAATTTAATCAATTATAGAATAAGGTTGTAACGTAACAAAATGTGGAAAAAGTCAAGGAGTCTGAATACTTTCCGAATGCACTGTATATATTTCTTAATTTTTTTGTGGGGTGGGGTGTACCCCCACGCCAACCCTTCACGTCCACCACAGTTTGGGAACAACTGCCTTAGAGGTTGTCAGGGGATTGGCTTGGGGCAAACACAGCTTTAGAAAGTGTGTGTGTGACATTGCCTCCAGGGGAGAGAGAGCGAGAGTGTGTGTGTGTCATCCGTGAGACAGACTCGTGGGCGGGGGTCCATCCATATATTATTTATCAAGCTGCTGGGTGCTGTCTGAGGCAAAGGCTCATGGGTAATGATTGAAATGCACACTTTTTGAAACATGAGTCAGGTGTGGTTTAGATCACTTGCGTGTGTGTGTCTGTCCATCCGTGCATGTCCTCTTGCATGCGTTTGACTGCTGCCAGAATCTACTGTATAAAAATCCCCTTCTGTTAAACTAATAACGTTACATAAAGTTGGAGGAGATTGAAAACAGATTTCAAGGAGCTGCAGTTGGCCAACAGTGTAATCGGTGGGGATGTATTTTTTATGAGTCCACTGACACACACACACACACACACTCACAGAGAGAGAGAGTCCCAGACCCAAAGGGGACCGGTCTAGGCAAACTAGCCCAGAAACAACCTGAACTAGGGCAGCAGCCAGACCTCCTTCCATGGTTCTGTCTGGATCTCCTGCCTCTGCTGTCTTACAGTACATTCCACTGTTTGGCCTTGCTAGTAAAGGAACTAGCCTAACAATAGCCAGGA